AAGCCTCCCAGGAACTGGGATTAAAGGTGTGAGCCACCATGGCCTGGTCTCTATGGTTAACTAGTGGCTAACTCTGCCCTCTGATCTCCAGGCAAGCTTTGTCAAAACACAAACAAAACATCATACAACATATGACATCTAGGTTTTTTACTTTTAATGAGAACCAAATAGTTTTTAGTCATGGAAGCATTGATACTTTTGAGAAATCATGGCATTAAAAATTCAACACAAATACATTTTAGAAGGCATATGCAATAATATTAATGTCCATATAGACCTCCATAACCTTCAATGTTTACCAGAGGAAATTACATATATGAATATTCAATAAATATTTTCCAAGTTAAAAAATAGAAACCAAACTGTTATAAACAGCATAGTTCATATGGAAAAATGTGTACCAAATTCATTCATAACGGAAAACTACAATATAGTCTATAGATAGCAAAAGACATTGAAATATGAAGGTGTTGGTGGAAAACACGAAAATGGAAGGCTGTGGTGACATACCTCTCCTGTGCTTTCTGTCTCCAACTCTCTCTGAAAGACACCAAAGAAAGCTCTTATGAAGGAACATGTCCTATGATTTATTGCTTGCAAACTAAAAGATCAAGGGATCTGGTGGCAAAATTTAGCATGGGTAAATTCTTGAACATCATGGGAGTTAACGGCATAAAACAAAACTCCAGGTCCGAGAAGATGAGAGATGTTTCAGCTGAAATAGACTGTAAAAATTAAAAACGACCTGGTTGTGTTTGCCCAGTTTGATACAGAGAGTAAAGATCCAATTTAACCAATGCATTGACTTACATATACACTTACTCCAGTCACGTTATCTGTGAATTCTTTAGAGTTTCTGAAGATAAAACTAAGTTCACATTGAGAAGAACACTTTCTCATTATCTTCTCATTTCCGACTTGTCCCTGTCTACCAGGTCGATCCCGGTCCTCGGGGGAGACCTTGATCTGGAGGAGGTGGGAATGGGGGGTGGGCAGAGGGGAGGGGGAGGGGGGCGAGAAGGGGAGAACAGGGGAATCTGTGGCTATTATGTTAAACTGAATAGTATTGTAAAATAAAAAAAATAAAATAGCTAGGAAAATGAAAAAAAACAAAAAAACAAAAAAAGAAAAACAAACAATAACAAAAACAAACAAAAACATTCACCGTTTCTTTCTGAAAACCATTGTTTGTTACCTAAAATATTTCCTACAGTTCCCAGAAACCACATCAAGTGATTCACAACCACCAGTGCCTCCAATACTATGGGATCTGATTTCTTATTCTGAACTTGTTCAGCATTGTACTAATATGCACATGCTCTTACCACCACCCCCACACAGATATAACACTAAGTATAAATACTTGTTAAAATTATATATGTTAGATAACCCTGTATAATATGTTTAATATATACACAGTTCTAAATTATTTCTTAATCCCTATTTCTTCCCTCACACTGTGAAATTGTTTGCTTTTTTATTTTAACAACAATAAGCATGGAACATATAGTGTAAGCTAATTTCAATTTCTAAGTTTGAGAACATATTCGAAGATTCTCTTAGTGATATCATATTGCATTGCCATGTATTATAAATAATTTATCATTTATTATACCATAAAATTCAGCACCTTACACATATAACTGTGATTTTTTTTAGTGAGTTCTTGGTGTTGTACAAGCCCTACGCTATAATCCCACATCATTTCCATCACTCCCTCCAGAGACTCCTACTCCTATTAAGTCAGTCTCAATTCCCTGGCAACTCTATCTACTCTTTACCTCTAATGAGTCTATCCTCTGTCTGCAATGGATCAATGATGCAAATAATTGTATAAGGAAAATGCACAGATCATTTCACAGGGGTCAATGTCTGACATGAGTTTTGAAAAGCATAAAGATGAGCTACAGTAAAGAGCAAATAATAGCAGAGTTGGCACAAAGGAATCTCTGCAGTGTGTATTAGAGTTTAGAAGCACTGAGAGGATTTGGAAATAGAATTGATCACTGTTGTTTGGGGCACTCTGGAAGAAGGGATTCTTTAAAGAGAAAGGGTTGTAAACAAGCACGAAGGAATGACAATTTTGAACTGAAGTGAGAACATAAGTAGAAAATTCTACTTTTTAAAAATTTTATTTCTAAAGCAGTAGAGAGGGAGTAAAGTGTCCACTGTCCATGAAGTTAGTGGGTACTTTCAAATAATTTTCTTACCTCCCTTGGAGGAACGTTTCTTACCACTTTTAAGTTCCCTCTCTTCGTTTTGTAAAATATTAAAATGGTACCCAATTCATACCGTGTCTACATGGTGTGAGTGTAATAGAATGTAATAGAATAATAGTTCACACTGTGGTTGAAGCCCAATGTTTATTTAAAATAAAACGACCTTACCAGGAACCTTGACATTTAAGAACTCTCTAAGCTATTTTCATATCTGTAATCAGTCATGCCTGTTTGAGCAGAATGTGCCTGATGGGTAGGATGTGGTGAAGTTGGAAATGATTGGTACACTAGGTAGAAGGTTTAGGCTGCCATGGAGTTGTCCAGAGAATGGTGGCTGACCCTGTAATACCCTCAGGAGGTACACCAGGTCTTGATGATAGTTTGATCTTCTCCCCTCCCCTGAATGAGCTTAACTTGAAGATGAACTAGGAAATTAAGGGTCTATGGATGAACACAATTAGAAGTATTTAGTGAAATTGTCTACGTGAATGGAGTTCTCATCCTGTCAGGAACACCAGGTTCGAGAGGCTGGAGAGATGGACCAACAGGAAAAAAGAACATTTTTGTGTAATCATAGGACATGAGTTAGAATCCTTAGTATTTATGTACAAAATATGTACACATGAGCATGGCCACATGTGCCTGTAAAAACCAGAATTGATGAACAAAAATCAGGTGGATCTCAGAATGTTTCTGGTCAGGCAGCCTAACTGATAGAATAAGCTTCTGGGACATGGGAAAACCTTCTTTCAAGAGAATTAGGTGGAAAACAACAAAGAAGACACCCTAAGTCATCTTCTGCCATTTTCATGTGTAAAAATAAAAATGCACACACACACACACACACACACACACACACACACACACACACACACACACACAGACTATAAGCATTGGAGAGAGAGAACAGAGAGAAGAGATTGGAAGAGAAAGAGTGAACTGGGGAGCAGGAGAGAAAGAGAAGTTGATGAAGGTAGCAAGCTAATATGACATGTGGAGGGAAACAACCTCCTTTTGTTTAAACTGGTGGGTATGTGGTATGAAGACAGGTTGTGACTGCTCTTAGAAATCAGAGATGAGTGTTGGAATGTCCTTCAGACACCTTTATATTTATTAAGACAGGGTCTCTCATGTAAACTGAAGTTCTCTGATTCACTAGGGTAACTGACCAACAAGTTCCAAGGGAATCATCCAGTCTCCCCACTAGTACTAGGGATCAAGGTATGTGCTGTTTGGATTTTGTGTGGTCACTAGAGTCTTCATGTTACAAGTCAAGCACTTTATTAACTGAGCCATTTTCCAAATATGAAGGTGTAAAATTACTAATATTTCAAAGATCTAAATGCATGTGACTTCCCAGGAAATCTGTCTAGGAATCTCACAAGGAATGTCATTTATAGTAAAAATCATGTCTTGTCCTCATGTTGCCTGATGACTCATGGTTCCCTTCTCAGATCCTTTGACAGCCATGCTATGGCTCTAATTTTACTTATCACGAGATAAAAGAGAGGCATTGAGAGAGAGAGAGAGAGACAGAGACAGAGAGACAGACACGTGTACACACACACACACACACACACACACACACACACACACACACACACACACCACACACGACAGGGACAGGGACAAGGAAAGAGACAGAGGAGGCAGACAGAGAGGGAATTCCCTAGAAACGTATTGGACAAATGAAAACTTGGGCCTCTCCACTCCTATTCATGATTACTGCTAAGATACTCTGATGCTAGTCACCTTTGATAAGGCTACATGAACATCAATAGAAGGGTCTTATTCTCTCCTTGAGTGTCTCTCTATCTACAAACTGTCATGCTTGTATAACACTCCAACTCTGCTTCAAATTGACTCATTCTAAAATCCCTTTCTAGGGCAAAGTTACAGTTCAAGCTTCATCTGAAAGGGAATTCCTCACCCTTCTTGCTATAATTCTGTTTGTGTTTCCTACTGAACCACAGCTGACAAAGGGAGTTGGTAATTTTGAGTCATTACCAAGGTTCATTCCAGTTATATGCTACTTAACTTATTTCTTTTATTTTGCATTTTTATATTTTGTGAGAATTTTTTTATTCACTTTACATACCAATCACATATCCCCCTCTCATGCCTCCTCCTGCTCTCCCACAGCCTTTCCTCCCCAGCCCAGCAGCCATTCCCTCTTTCAAAGGGTAAAGCCTCCCATGAGGAGTCAGCAAAGCCTGGTACCTTCAGTTGAGGCAGGGCCAAGCCCCTCCCCCTGCATCAAGACTGTGTAAGGTGTCCCACCATAGGTAATGGACTCCAAAAAAGCCAGGTCCTGCACCAGGGATAGATCTTATTCCCACTTCCAGGAGCCCTTTAAACAAATCAAGCTACACAACTTGTCTCACCTATGCAGAGGGCCTACTCAATCCCATGCAGGCTCCACAGCTGTTAGTCTAAGGTTTGTGAGTTCTCACTAGCTTGGTCCAGTTGTATCTCTAAGTTTCCCCATCATGATCTTGATGCCCCTTGCTCACAGAATCTCTCTTCCCTATCTTCAGCTGGACTTCTGGATCTTGGCCTGGTGCTTGGCTGTGGATCTCTGCATCTGTTTGGAATAAGTTACTGCATGAAGACTCTATGATGACAGTTACGGTATTCACCAATCTGACGGATATAAAACAAAAGATAACCAGACTACAATCCCAGCTGCAGAGAAGCTGGGTAACATGGAGGACACTAAGAGGGACACGTGGGTCTCCCTGGGAAGGGGAAATAGATAAGCTCTCCTGAGTAAACTGAGAGTGGGGGGCAATAGAAGGGAGGGGATGGGGGATGAGAACATAAGGAAACAGGATGGTAGAGCTGGAACAAGGATGGAGTGGGAGAGCAATGAAAGATATCTTGATAGAGGGAGACAACATGGGAATAGGGAGAAATCTCATGCTAGGGAAATTCCCAGGAATCCACACGGATGACCACAGATTAAACTACTGGCAATAGTGGAGAGGTGACCTGAGTTGGGCTACTTAACTTATTTCTAATAATATTGTGGTGCTATTTTATTTGTACTGAAAAGTGGTGATATTTTATTTGTGTGTTAATAAATAAAGCTTGCCTGGAGATCAGGGGGGAAAGGCCAACCATTTAAAGTAAACAAAGGAGTCAGGTAACACACACCTTTAATCCCTTAGCAAGCAGGGTCTCTGTGTGTTCAAGGCCACACTAGGGAACAGAGCCAAGCATGGTGACACACACCTTTAATCCCAGTACCAACCATAGAGACCTGGAGGTCTATGCAGACAGACAGGCAGTGACAGAGCTGTGTAGGAAGAAGAAGTGAAGTAACTGGGCTAAGAGCCAATGAGAGGGCAGAAAAGCAAGATATATATAAGCCTGGGTAGACAGGAAGTTGCTCTCCTTGAACACTGCGGAGTTTGTGAGGTGAGGTTAGCTGGTGGTTTTTCATATTTCCCTCATCTCTCTAAGGCTTTAACCTAAATTTCTGGCTTCATGCTTTTTATTTAATAAGACCTTTTAAGACTCGTGTTACAGTGTTACATAATATCTGTTAAAGACCTACGCTATCTAGGTCTTTTCACTAGCACTTGAGGTATACTATCACATTTACCTATTACAAGCATCCTTTGAGAAATGGCTTATTCTTAATCTCCATTACCTAGGTAAGAAAGACAAGGACCAAAACATTGGTAATTTATACCATAACATACTGTTTTAGCTAAAAAAAATTAGATACCTTCTCAATACACCTTTTCTATGGCATTATAGCAGTGGATTCTAAAATTTTAGCATGGACATTAGGGGTATGAGTATATTTAGGATACTGTCTCAAAGATGAAACATTCTTTTTGGTTTGCCAGAGAGACTATTTTAAAAATAGTTAATATTTCATTTTTGAGATTATAATATAATTGCATTGTTTCTCCCGTCCATTTCTTCACTTTAAACCTTTCTGTATATTCTTCCTTATGCTCTTTCGAATGTATGGTCTCTTTCTCACTAACTGTTACATGCATATATGCATATACATATCTATTTCTAAATGTAACCTGTTACTTATGTGTACATTCTTAGGGTTGTCCATTTAGTATTGGGGATGAGTATTTTAGAGAACTTACTTTCAACAGGAAAGGTCAAGTTTGCTGAGTATTATTGTACTTTTGTCTTAGTTACTGTTATATTGCTGTTAAAACACAGCATAACCAAGACAGCTTATACAAGAAATTATTGAATTGTAGGCTTGCTTACAGTTTCATAGGGTGAATTCATGATCACCATGGCAGGCAGCATGGCATCAGGTAGGTAAGCATGGCAATAGAACAGTAAACAGAGACCTTCCATCTTGATCTGAAGGCAGGGGCAGAGATAGAGAAAGAGACTGGGCCTAGCATGGGTACTTGACACTTCAAAGTTCACTGGCAATATGACACCTCCTCCAAAAAAAGCCATGTCTCCTAATAATCCCCAAACAGTCCATTGACTGGGGAGGAAGAATTAAAATATATGGTCCTATGGGGGCCATTCTCATTTAAACCACCGTAACATCCAAACAGCTATTCTGATGGTATAATCTATTAAAAGAGGGACAAATTCTATTTTTTTTTCTATTGTGTCTCAAAAATTCAAATGTAAAGTAACTGTATTTTGGGTAAGCAGAAGTGGGTGGTGTTCAGGAATCATATCCAGTTCCATCATTATTCACAAGAGCTTTCTTGTTTTTGATAAAGAATATGTGATATAACTGTTAGCAAATTTCCTTGAGATCTATAACATGAAAATTCAAATACAAAACATGGAATTAGAGTAATCATGAGCTTTACATTCAGGGAACCCAAATATCAATTTCTATTGAGCCAAAAAGCAGCAAGGCAATGCGAGGTTTCATGTTCGGCCTCTTTTTTTCCCCAGTTTTAATTCCTATGAGTTTGGAGCGATAATGTTAACAGGAGTGCATCAAACCTGAGATGAAGGAAACAGAATCAGTTTATATTAATTATTATAAACGACAATGACTTATTGTAAATGTTTTCTTTTCTTTTCCTGAAAATAGATTTTTTTCATATAATATATTCTGATTTCATTTTTCCCTCATTCTATTCCTCCCAGTTCCTTAGCACCTTCCTGCCATCTGGAGCTATATACCCTTTCTGTTGCTCCTTAGAAACGAGGCATCTATTGAATAATAATAAAAACAAGATAAGACAAATCAACTTAAAAAATTGGAATATGCCAAAACAACTAAACAAGAGAAAGAGCCAAAGAAAAAGTACGAGAACCCCATACAGGTAGAGAGACACACATATCGAGACACTTAAGAATCCCATAAAAACTGAAAACTGGGAGACATAATATGTATGCAAAGGAACTGAAATGTATAAACAAAATGAAGTAAACAAAAAATAGCCATGATTTAACATAAAACAAAGAACCTCCAAAGACGTCTGTGAGTTAACTTTGTTGGCTTTCTACTGCTGGGCACGTGGCCCACTCTTAAGAGTGGTTTGTTTTGCAAGTGATTAGCAATTGGAAATAACTTTTGGGTTAGGGATGTGGTGTCTATCAAATAGCCAGGACTTCACATGGTACAGATATTGTGCATGCAGACACAGTCTTTTTGAGTTCACATGGGCACCAGCCCTGTTATGTATTAAAGATTAATTTGTTAAACAAAATTAAACAGGAGGGGCATTGCCAAATTCTTTTTAAGTGGCTACAGTGAGTCTGATACGTGAATCAAATAAAGAAACACCAAAGAAAGAGAATTGCAGCCAATTGCCCTTATGAATGTAGGTATAAACTTCTCAATAAAATACTTGCAAACCAAATGGAAAAACATTATAAAATATTGTCAATCATAATCAAGTAAGCTTCATTCAGGAGATGCAGGGATAATTCAACATATATAAGTCAATAAATGTAATCCACCATACAAGCACACTGAAAAATAAATCCACATCATCATCTCATTAGATGCAGAAAAGGCCTTGAACAAAATCCTACATTCTTCATGAAAAAAGTCCTGGAGAGATTAAGGATGCAAAGAACATTTCCACATAATAAAGGCACTTTACAGCAACTCATAGCCAATATCAACTTAAAAGGGTGAAACTCAAAGCAATTCCACTAAAATCAGGAACAAGACAAGGATGTCCTCTCTCTCCATACATACTCAAAATTATACATGTAGTTTTAACTAGAACAATAAGAAAATCAAAGAAGTTCAAGGGGATGTAAATTGGAAAGGAAGAAATCAAAGTATCTTTATTTGTACATGATGTGATAGTATACATGAGTGACCCTAAAAATTCCATCAAGAAATTCCTACACCAACTAAACTCTCTCAGCAAAGTGGCAGGATACAAACTTAAGAAACAAAAATCATTAGCCCTTCTATATACGATTAAAAACTAACTGAAAGAGAAATCAAGGAAAAACCTTTCATAGTAGAATCCAAAAGTATAAAATATCTTGGAGTAACTCTAACTAAGAAAGTGAAAGTTTGTATGATAAAACCTTTAAGACAATGAAGAAAGAAATTGAAGAAGATACCAGAAAATGGAAAGATGGCCATGTTCTTGGATCAGTAAGATTAATATAGTAAAAATTATCATCCTACCAAAACAATTTATAGATTCAATGAACTCGCCATCAAATTTCCAAGTCAATTCTTCACAGATCTTAAACTCAAAACTCAACTCAATTGCTTTGAGATCTTCATCTGGAAACTCAAAAAATCCAGGATAGCTAGAACAGTCCTGAATGATAAAAGAACTGCTGGAGGTATCACCATTCCAGATCTCCAGTTGTACTCCAAAGATAAAGCCATCATTTTGTAAGTAATTTCAGAACAGGGTGGATGGTTTTCTACAGTGGAAGAGAATAGGGGGGAATATCTCTGGGGATGAGTTAAGGATAAACCAAGGTACTTAGACTGCCACTGGATCACAGCTCATGACTGGGCATTTAATCTCCACAAGGAATTCATTGCTTTATTTACAAAGCCAGACACAAGGCACTACTTATTACATAGTTGTCAAGTGTAATTTCTCTCTGATGTTATTAGGAAAGAACTGAATAATGAGTAAAATCTAGAAAAGATACACAGAGGGAGAACTGATTTGTAACTTACAACAGTGACAACAGATGTCATCATTTATTTAGAGATGAGACGATACGAGGCAAGTATAGTGGAAAAATAGCCACCAAACAAGAAAAGGGTCAGATTACCAATAGCCTTTCATGGGCATTTAGTGACAAACACTTTTGTGCTGGAAAGATGGCTCAGATGTTGAGATCACCAGCTGTTCTTCTGGATGACCTGGGTTCAATTTCTAGCACCCATATGGCTGCTCAAGAACTGTCCGTAACTCCAGTTCCAGGGAAACTGATATCCTCGAAAATACATACATGTAGGCAAAAAAGCAATGCACATGGAATAAATATTAAATAAAAGAATTTTAAAAGTATGTAAAACACTTCAATCAAGAAATTGAAAATTACAAAGGTAGTCATCAACAGTGTACAAGTTACTTTTCTAAGCTTATACCTATATTAACCTCTGAAGAATAGTTACCATTTTCGTTTCATGCTTCAAATAAAAGAAATAAAACAGTGAAATTCATGAGACCTAACTAAATAGCTCAGCCAGGGCTAATCAATGGTGTCACTGGTATGTGAAGCAGGAAGGACCTCACTAGGGCCATTTGCATTGCAAGTCTGTCTTCATTGCTATCTGGAAAAGGAGCTATTTAATTCTAAATACAGCACATTACAAAGATGTGTCTCAGTTAACTTT